CAGTTCCAATCTACTAATTTTAAAAGAGTATTGTCCCTTAAAAATATAAGTTATATGAAAAGTTGCATTGAAAGTGCTCTCGCATGTACAATTTGTCAGATTTTTAGCTCACCTGGCCCAAAGGGCCATGTGAGCTTTTCTCATCACTTGGCGTACGTTGTCTGTCGTCCGTCATCGTTGTCGTCGTCGTCGTTAACTTTTACAAAAATCTTCTCCTCTGAAACTACTGGGCCAAATTTGACCAAACTTGGCCACAATCATCATTAGGATATCTAGTTTAAAAAATTTGTCTGGTGACCCGGCCAACCAACCAAGATGGCCGCCATGGCTAAAAATAGAACATAGGGGTAAAATGTAGATTTTGGCTTATATCTCTGAAACCAAAGCATTTAGAGCAAATCTGACAGGGGTAAAATTGTTTATCAGGTCAAGATCTATATGCCCTGAAATTTTCAGATGAATCGGACAACCCGTTGTTGGGTTGCTGCCGCTGAATTGGTAATTTTAAGGAAATTTTGCCGGTTTTGGTTATTATCTTGAATATTATTATAGATAGAGATAAACTGTAAACAGCAATAATGTTCAGCAAAGTAAGATCTACAAATAAGTCAACTTGACCAAAATGGTCAGTTGACCCCTTAAGGAGTTATTGCCCTTTATAGTCAATTTTTAACCATTTTTCGTAAATTTTGTAATCTTTTACAAAAATCTTCTCTGAAACTACGAAGACAAATTTAACCAAACTTGTCCACAATCATCATTAGGGTATCTAGTTTAAAAAATGTGTCCGATGACCCCGCCCGCGAACCAAGATGGCCGACATGGCTAAAAAATAGTACAATGGGTAAAATGCAGTTTTTGGCTCATATCTCTGAAATTAAAGCATTTAGAGCAAATCTGATGAGGATAAAATTGATCATTAGGTCAAGATCTATCTGCCCTGAAATTTTCAGACCAATCAGGCAACATGTTGTTGGGTTGCTGCCCCTGAATTGGTAATTTTAAGAAAATTTTGCAGCTCTTGGTTATTATCTTGAATATTATTATAGATAGAGATAAACTGTAAACAGCAATAATGTAGAGCAAGGTTAGATCTACAAATAAGTCAACATGACCAAAATTGTCAATTGAACCCTTAAGGAGTTATTGCCCTTTATAGTCAATTTTTTACAATTTTCATAAATTTTGTAAATTTTTGTAAAATTTTACAAAATATTTTCCACTGTAACTACCGGGCCAAGTTCATTATAGATAGAGATAATTGTAAGCAGCAAGAATGTTCAGTAAAGTAAGATCTACAAACACATCACCATCACCAAAACACAATTTTGTCATGAATCCATCTGTGTCCTTTGTTTAATATGCACATAGACCAAGGTGAGCGACACAGGCTCTTTAGAGCCTCTAGTTATGAAATTCATATCAAAGGTATGTAAATAACAGCAATGTCTCAGACAATTTCATAAATAAGTGCTGATTAAATGCTTTTAATGAGTTTCCTTTGGAAATATTCAATATATATAGCAAATTGCTCTCAAGCCTTGAACTCTCTATAAGTAACATAATTTTAAAAAGATTTGATTTTTTTTTTAGTTATTGTCCATGGAAAGAACAGATAAAATTATGTGGATTGTGGGGGACATTAGAACTCTGTTCTTTTATTGTTATGGTTTTACTCCCTATTGACAATCCTTTTTTCGCCAGTCCCTTCATCTGTTCCACATAGTATACATGGTTTTTCTAGCTAATCCCTTGTTCAGTTTTCTATCTAGAATTTTGAAATTATGCAGGATGTTAGGACATATCAAAAGAGTGTACATATTATCAGGTTTTTTTATTCTCTATAAATTTTGCAAAAATGACAGGGTGTTCAACTGAATCTTTTGTTTGCCCTTCTAACAAAAAATGAAATTGGCGTTTGATCTTTGGCCATCACTTGGCCTACAACTTCATCCATTCAAAGTTGTAAACTTTAAAAAATCTTCTTTTCTAAAATTATTTTGCCCAATGTAACTTAACTTTACCAGAATGTTCATTAGGGTATTAACTTTAAAATTGTATCCAGAGATTTGATCCATCACCAATAATGGCCACTGCTTTGATAAACATTTAACTTATGGTTGAAACACAGATTTGGGTTATATCTCAAAAACTAAAGCAAATTAGAGCAAATCTGACGAAGGGCAAAAATTATTATGATGTCAAGGTCTATCTTCACCCCAATTAAAAAAAATTTTGCATCGTATAATGGTATGATGTTGTCGGCGGCGTCAGCGTCGTTCGAAGACACATTTGGTTTCCGGACAATAATTTTTGTATAAGTGAATGAATCTCTATGAAATTTTACCAGAATGTTCAATACCACAAAAGGAAGGTTGGGATTGATTTTCGGGGGTAATGGTAAGTTTAGGAATTAGGGGCCAAAAACAAGCATTTTTGTAGTTTCCGGACAATAACTTGTGTGTAAGTGTATGGATCTCTCTGACTTTGTACCACAAGGTTCCATTTCACAAAGGGAAGGCTGGCATTGAGTTTGGGGAAAATTGATTTAAACGTTAAGGAATTTGGGGCCAAAAAGGGACCAAAAACAAGCATTTTTCTAGTTTCCAGACAATAACTTGTGTTTAAGTGTATGGATCTCCCTGAAATTGTACTGCAAGGTACCATACTGCAAAGGGAAAACTGGGATTGAGTTTGGAGGAAATTACTCCAAGGGGGGTTCAAAATTTATTTGGGGGGATTTTTTTTCATAATTTTTTGGTTATTTTTCCTTAAAATTTTACATTTTTACATTGATAATTTTTGATTTATATATAAAAACAAAAAATACTGATATGGCAGTAGATACACACCAAACAGGATGTGTAAATTATTATATTAAGTATTGTGCAATAGCACAGTATTGCGCAATAGCAAGAAATCTTCAATTGCATAGTATTGCGCAATAACAAGAAATCTTCAATTGCACAGTATTGTGCAATAGCACAATATTGCACAGTAGCAAGAAATCTTCAATTGCTCAGTATTGTGCAATAGCAAGAAATCTTCAATTGTACAGTATTGCTCAATAGCAAGAAATATCCAATTGAACAGTAATTGCCCAATAGCACAATATTGGGTAATAGCAAGAAATCTTCAATTGCACAGTATGGCGCAATAGCAAGAAATATCAAATTGCACAGTGGTGCGCAATAACAAGAAATCTTCAATTGCACAGTATTGCGCAATAGCAAGAAATCTTCTATGGAACAGTATTGCGCAATAGCAAGAAATCTTCTATGGAACAGTATTGCGCAATAGCACAGTATTGGGCGGTAGCACAATATTGAACAAGATCACAGTATTGCACCATATCACAGTAGTGCGCAATAGCAAGAAATCCTCAATTGAAAATTAATACAAATATTTTAACCCATTTCAAATTTTTAAGATCTTTCAACACATTTATTTTGTGTCAGAAACCTATATTATGTCAAAAATTTGATCACAATCCAAGTTCAGACAGTATCAAGCTGAATATTGTGTCCAACTGCGGTCGTATCAGGCTGCGTTCGGTGAAGCATTTTATTGGCTTATAGTTCAAAATCGAAAGGAAATTTGACATGGGTAGAATTAATCGGCAGGTCAAAGTTTATCTCCTGACAACAGTCAACTTTTAATCTAGGAATGTTTGTTCCACTTCCTGTCAATACATTTCCCCCAAAAACAGAGATCTAATGTTTTCTTTGGCAATCAATTCAAGAATGCAGTAGGAAAAACTTGTCTACCACATAAATTAGTGGTGTTGGCAAATATGGCAAAAAGGAGACCGAAAAAGATAATTTGAGGTTTATTGTTAAATATTTATTAGCTTCAGTTCAAGGTGCAGTGATAAGAAATAAGTTTTTCCATAATCAGTAGTTAGATGTATCTTTATCACATGATACTGTTTAAGGTAACTGAAAAAAAAAAAACATTACATGGTGCCAGAATTAAGGACTTGCATTCAACCGAGATTTATTGCTCATACGTATACCAAGCACAATCAAATCAAGCTGGTAGAGATTACATTTAATTCTTGAAAAATTGTTATGTATACAGGAACATTGACAGCCTTTTAAAATATGTTTACTGAAATTTGAAAACTAGAAGTCACAATTACATTGATTACTTTCAAAGGTTCATCTGGCAGGGTTCATCTGATGGCAACTGTGAAATAAAAGAGCTGTCCCTTTACTTTTTCCTTATTTTTGCTGTGCAATTACTTTATATGTGTCATGGATGGATATGCCATATCTTTTCTTTTCTATTATGGGATGATCGATTGTTAGATCTATATGCATATATGTGCATCTGGTAAGGTTCATCTGACCTTGACCTCATTTTCATGGGTCATTGGTCAATGTTAAGTTTTTGTGGTTTGGTTCATTTCTTAAATGCTATACGCAAAACTATATGCAAAAAAAAAAATAGAATGATTGTTAAGTGTTCTTGTCTGCTTAGCAGGGTTTATCTGAACCTTGCCTCATTAACATGGTTTATTGAAAAAAGTGAATGTGTTACTTGTAGTAAAACATGTATCTTAAAGATTTTCAACATTCAACATGATCAGTAAACATGTTGAGACATGTTAGTGTCTGCATACTAGTTTTAAAGAAATTCCATAAAAGAGTTAATAATAATAATAATAATGTACTTCCTCAGTGTGGGAATTATGTTTTTGCATGCAAAGGTGTTTTCATTAATGAGCTCTTTTAGTAAGTAACATACCTATACACTCATTGAACTCCATTATTCTCCTGTCTTGGGCAGATTAACCTATGTTATGGCAATTTATAGAAACTGGGTGCAATCTAACTCAGTTATTTAAAAATGGCACAAATGAATATTTCAATTTTTTATCAGATTTGCTTAAATTTAGTACCCCCAGACATTGAAACTATGATTGGATGACCAACCCTTAGACAGACCATGTAATTGACTATAATAATTACAGAGGAAATTATTTTTAATTTGATCAGGTGAAAAACTTATGTGGAGGTGTAAATGAGAGCAGTCATTTGAAAACCCACATGAAGACAAGACCAATAAGGGGAGCAGATTTAGAAACTGCAAGTTCATGCTCTGAAAAATCAGTACATGAAGAACCAGCTATTTATAGAAGAATTCCTCAGGCTGTTCTAGGACAACATGGTGGAGAACTTTTAGTACATGCTAGAGCATATGGAGGCAGATTTGCTAGTAAAAAAAAGCGCTGTAGACTGCATCCAGGAATGATAGTGATAGGAACTCGAGTAAGTAATTTTGTTAGTTTTCATTATTTCTATATGCATTTGCAATGTCCAGCCATAAGGAATATTATCATTGTATTGAAAACAGTAATTATTGGCATGATTTTATAACCAAAATGGCACACATGGCTTAAAATAGAACGGAGGGGTAAAATGTTAAAAAAGTTTTGCCTATTATTTCAAAAACTGATATAAATAGAGAAAATCTGTTCTGGGCAAAAAATTTCAGAATATTGAGCTGCACCTATTGGTCCAGGGACACAGTTACCGTCCTTTGATTTTCGTTGTCTACAAGTAAAGTCCCTAGTGTAGACAGTATATAACTTTCAAATTTTTTTCAAACACCTTCCTAATTTATTTTTTTTATATTTTATGCATAAAGTAGTAATTAAGTAGGGGGAAGAAATTACATGTAAAAAAAATTGGGGCATGAATGGTTAGGTAAAGTAGTGATTTTATCCAGTTTTAAAAGGTCAAAAACTAGTATGTCTGAAGCTATCAAACTGAATTACAGACCCCTTTAACATAAAAGTATCCATATTTTGAGTAAGAGCCTATAGACTTTTCTATAATTTTTAGGCAGTTAAGCTGCCTTATGCTAGCACCCTAGATTTGTGTTCTTCCCAACGAATGCCGAAAAAAGTGCCATTGTTATAATCTAGCAGGCTGGTATGTTATTTATAACTAATTGGACATTTTTTTCATACTTTTAATTCTGGAATACAAAAAATATAACCAGAATAACCTCAAATGATCGTCGAACGACCCATAATATTTGAATTTGCACATAGGAAATAGTGCTCAAACGAAATCCGTACGTAGTTTATTATCCCCTGTGCTTTTGGCTAAGATGTCAAAGAACAATTGTATGAAATATTTCATCGCCGAAAATCTGTAATTACAAGTCGTTTATATTTCCCAAATGGCAAAATGCGCAGGAATATTGTTCATGTACAACAAATCTCTATGATAGAGGAAATAAAGTTATATATCTAAGTTGGCGGTAATTTTACAACTTATCTTGCCAAATAAGGTTGTTGTTTTATGAATGAACAAGGTCATGAAACAGATCCGGAAATCGACGTCGATGGGATAATTTTACAACTTATCTTGCCAAATAAGGTTGTTGTTTTATGAATGAAACGAGGTCATGAAACAGATCCAGAAATCGACGTCGATGGGATGTTTTAAAAGAGGGACGAACGATACCAGAGGGACAGTCAAACTCATAGATCGAAAACAAACTGACAACGCCATGGCCAAAAATAAAAAGACAAACAGACAAATAACAGTACAGATGACACAACATAGAAAACTAAAGACTAAGCAACATTTAAGTAATGTGGACAACTCGTCCCTGAGACAAGTCGGACCAAATCCACTTGAACCGTCTAAGAAGACAACTCGGACCGCTTGTCAGATTTAGTTAGGGTTTCATAAAATGTTAGACTAACATGTCTAGCGGAGCCATCAATCCTTTGTTTGTGCATTGGGGTCTATTTAGGGGTATTTTGAGGGCCTAAAGAAGGGATGGGTTTACTGTAGAACCCTATGGGGTTTTATTTTTTAAATTTTCAAATGACTATTTCTCGAAAACAGTAAGTGATAGACACACACGGTCTTCAGTAATGAGTAAAGGACAATAAAACAAATCAAATAAAATATAGGGTGAGTCACTGGGGGTCATCCCAACCCCCTTCAATTTGAAAATGTGCTTTTATCTTGTAAACGGTCGCAATCCCCCACCCTAAACCATATATATACTTGTATGAGACAATAAAACAAATCAAATGAAAATAATTTGGGGGAGTACCCGGTGTCACCCACCCCCTTCTCTTTGAGAACTTGTAAACGGTCGAGATCCCCACCCCTAAACCATATATATTCATGTATTGGGACAATATAACAAATCAAATGAAATATATGGGGAGTCCCTGGGGGTAACCCCACCCCCTCCTGTTTGAGAACTTGGAAATGGTCGAGATCCCCACCCTTAAACCATACATATTTATGTATTGGACAATAAAACAAATCAAATGAAATATAGGGGGAGTCCCTGGGGTCACCTCACCCCTCCTATTTGAGAACTTGTAAACGGTCGAGATCCCCACCCCTAAACCATATATATTCATGTATTGGACAATAAAACAAATCAAATGAAACATAGGGGGAGTCCTTGGGGTCACCCCACCCCTCCTGTTTGAGAACTTGTAAAAGGTAGAGATCCCCATCCCTAAACCATATTTATTCATGTATAGGACAATTTAACAAATCAAATGAAATACATGGGGAGTCCCTGGGGTCACCCCACCCCCTACTGTTTGAGAACTTGTAAACGGTCGAGATCCCCACCCCTAAACCATATATATTCATGTATTGGGACAATATAACAAATCAAATGAAATATATGGGGAGTCCCTGGGGTCACCTCACCCCTTACCCCTTAACCATATATATTCATGTATGGAACAATAAAACAAATCAAATGAAATATAGGGGGAGTCCCTTGGGTCACCCCACCCCTCCTGTTTGAGAACTTGTAAACGGTCGAGATACCCACTCCTAAACCATATTTATTCCTGTTCGTCATTTCAAAAAGATTTGACTGACATACAGGGTCAATCCCATAGGCGTCACATATGCATTTCACTTTACTAGACCAAACCAATATGTACTGTACTTTGCCCAATGTCAGGCGACCATGGGAATGACGAATTATGGGAGCTTTGTTTGGGAGACGGCATCCTGTTACAATTATTTCTTGTTTATTATAAAATTTTATTGATGCAAAAAATGAGTCTTAAGTTAATTGAATTTACACTATTTATTTTTTGAATTATTTCTGGGCCTATGATAATTTTTATTTATGGCTCATTTTAAAGAAAACATATAAATCTTTCAAGCAGTGTAAAGCCCAAGAATGTTTGACCAACTGTTTTATATCAATCACCTGTCATTTTATTCCAAACTTGGTATGGAGTGACATCATGGACTTGGGGTGAAGATAGGGGTCATTTACATTGATAGATATGCATTGCTTTTGAAAACTTCGATGACATATTAATTAATTTGCCTTAATAATCAATTCATTAGATAAACATAAATGTACAATGTACGAATGTTTAATGTTTGTTCTTTCAAATCTTAAAAAAAAAATTGAAGCAACACTGCCACAGTTTTCATATTACGTTTGCCTTGGTTTTTGGTTAACTGCCTACATCGCTTACAGTGCTTTGATTATATAATTTGTCCCAAAGTAGTTTTTTTGGATAGAATCGGTATAAATTTTTAAATTTGCGTTTTTTGTCTTAAAGAAATGCACTACAAAATGTCTGTGTTCTCAGGCCTAGGAGATGAATTCAGTAAATGAAGATTCGGTACTTTGGCAACTTCCCTGAATGATTTGAGGGTATCAACATGTCTAACTGAAAAAAATTAAAGGATTTTCATCTTTATTTGATAGAAATTCTGTAAAAATGTCCAATTTTAGCATTTAATATGTGGCTGAAATAAGCATATTAAGCCATTTCCATCTCTATGCCTGAGGAGCTAGCTGACTTCCAATCTGACAAGTTTTCATGTTTTGAAATGTGTGTTTCTAGGCTTATTTCAAGTTTCTATGATGATATGTGAATCCTGAATCTAGAAAAAAAGTAGATTATCACAGAAAAATATGCAAAATGTGTTGTATTTATGGTCCTGGTCTTACAGCCTGTTTGAAGGAATTCGGAAATGTGAGGAGATATGTACATAAAAGTTGAAGTCCATTATAAATAGTTCACTTAATCTATAATAAAATTAAGACCTTTACAATGATTGTTGTACCTGTTTCCTTTCAGATAACACCTTTTTTCTTCTGTAGGATAGTTAAGTAGTTCAAATATATATGCCTATTGAGATTAGAATTACATGCAAGTTTTCCACTGAAAGTAAAAATACATTGCATCAGACAATACAGTCTGAAAAAAAAATGAATGACAGAGTCCTATTGCACTCAGACTTCTTGTATCATGTCACCTTAGCATATAAATGACAAAAAGAAAATTTTTTTTGCACTAAACTACTTTTAGTCTTACATGGCCTAGGACCATTTCATACTCATGTGGTATGCCATTTGTAATTTTCCTTTCCATGGGAAGAATATTAACCCTTAGACTGCTGCATTCATTTCTTTTTTAATCACTAATGATATTAAACATGTTTACTTATAATTGCTAGGGTACAAGTCAAATCTGCACCTGTTTGAAGTCAATTCGGCATTTAGTTGGTCAATTCGACATCCAATAATATTTGATATATTATCTATATGTATAAATAATTCAAAATTTTGGGGTTGGATTTTATCATTCATTACATCGTTAAAAATCATCATATTTATTAAGTTAGAATACATAAGTTAATTGTTTGAAGTTTTCTCAACATTATACATGTTATATGACTCATGTTTTGATTAGCAAAATGATTAGTTTTCTTTTCAATAAATTGATTAATAACTTTTATCAATTAAATCTGGGACTATTGTTAGTATAATAGTCCCAGATTAAATAATTAACACGTTATTGGTGTTTTATCTTCAAAAACTTAAATAAAAAACAATGAAGCCATTGCCCAAGCTGTTGTTTAATCATGAGAAAATTAGAAAATTTCAACAATATGGCAAGATAATAAAATTTTTCTTCAACTTTTAAAGCTTAAGCCTTCCCTACAATTCAATCTGGAGTAAGAACTGTTCGCATGGAAACTACGGTGACCTTTAGTTGTTAATTTCTGTGTCATTTGGTCTCTTGTGAAGAATTGTCTCATTGGCAATCATACCAAATCTTTTTTTTATATATAGATAAATCAATTCCCTGTAAAATCTTCTTGCAAGGTCAACTAGTTTCTATAAAATACAAGGGTCTGCCAAGAAATCCAAAATGCTTCAAATATGGAATCTATGGCCATATTGCTAGGGACTTGAATACACATTAAGTTGACTCAAGGATTTTTATAGTAAGATTACAAATCCTTGGTTGACATGGAAAAAAAACATACAGAAACCCCCAAAAAGTGTTAATAAGTCAATATTTGTGGACATCACCTTTTTAATTTTAATCTTAAAATACTGAAAACATATATATTCAACATATTTAATATGGGTGTTGAAATGGCTACATAGGTTCCCAATTTAACCAGATGCCAATTTAACTAGGTGCCAATTTGACTATACTGAACCAGGTGCAGATTTGACCAGGTGCTGATTTAACCAGGTGCCGATTTGACTAGAATTCAATTGATATATATCTTATTCATCAATAAAAGTTAAATAAAAAATTATTGTTGGATTCTGTATTGTTTATTTATTTTACTTTTGTGTGTGCCTTTGGTCATTTATTACCTGTACAGGTGCAAATAGCTAAACAAAGGTAATTTTTTATACGACCGCAAAAATTTTGTAGTCGTATATTGGTATCACGTCGGCGGCGTCAGCGTCTTCCGAAGGCATTTGGTTTCCGAACAATAACTTTGGTATAAGTAAATAGAAATTTATGAAGTTTAAACACAAGGTATGAAACCACAAAAGGAAGGTTGGGATTGATTTTGGGGGTTATGGTCCCAACAGTTTAGGAATTAGGGGCCAAAAAGGGGCCCAACTAAGCATTTTTCTAGTTTCCAGACAATAACTGGTGGAACAGTGTATGGATCTCTATGAAATTGTACCACAAGTTTCCATATTACAAAGAGATGGTTAGGATTGGCTTTGGGGGCTTATGGCTCAAACCATTTAGGAATTAGGGGCAAAAAAGGGGGAAAAACAAGGGTTTCCTGGTTAATTGACAATTACTTAAGTATTGGTCTTTGGATTTTTATGAAATAGATATTGGACCATTAAGCATTATATAAGGGATAACATTTGATTGATTTTGATATTTTACAGTATATAGAAGAGAACAATATTTTGGGATTACTGCTCTTTATTGATTTTGAGGAAGCTTTGATTCATTATGTTGGGACTTTTTGCTATAAGTATTACAATTTTTCGTGCTATTAGTGTTACAATTTTTTTCATATGCTGATTTTAACTGTGTATTTTGTTGTTGGTCCCATATTCTAATTGGTCCAAATTTTGGTCCTAAGGCTATAAAATTTGTTTTGTTTGATTTAATTAACATTAAATTTACAATGTTATATTTGAATTACCTCCCTTACATTGCTTTTAAATTAAGTAAAGTTGTCTGCTAGTTCTAGTATGAATTATTTTTTAGCTGTTTCTAGAAACATCAAATACTGTGATGAAAGTATATATAATATAATAATAGTGTATATCAAAGGGTTCAGTGGTAATAAATTTGTTTATTTGTGATCATTATCATTTGTTTTGGTTTTTTTGGCATTAAGAGTTACCTCCCTACACTGGTTTTGTTATAAAGAAATGTTGTAATGGCTTGAGGTGATTAGCTGTTAATTTATTTTTAGAAGTTACTATTAAATGCTGATGAAAATGATGAAGGTATATTAAATTTAGCCATGATTATGTATGTCATTTTCTATTTTAATACTTTTATGATGTATTTAAATGGGTTTTTATGGTTGCTGGTTGCAAACTCCGTTGGAAATTTGAATTGAGATTATGACCATATCTTGAGGGAAAGAATATTTTTTTGGAAAAAGGGGGGAGGGGGGGAAAGGTTTTAAAAAAATTTGGGGGGGGGTTAAAAAAAATTAAGAGGGGTGGGGACAATTTTTTCTCAAGATTTCAGAAATTTAAAAGGAAATTTCTTCAAATATTTTTTTTTTTTGCAAAAAAAAGGGGGGGGGGGGTCAATTGGCAAAAAAATAGTGAATTGCACAGAAGCAAAAAATTGAATATAAATTCCAATCATATAACCAATTCTAAGTTCTTTGACTACAGTTATTTTGTGTCAGAAACCTATTATGTGTCAAATATTTAATTACAATCCAAATTCAGTCCTGTATCAAGCGCGAATATTGTGTCCATTTTTGCCCCAACTGTTAAACCTCTGCGGTAGTATCCAGCTGTGCTAGGCGAAGCAATTTATTTAATTTTAATGTTTTATTAATGAATCCATCAATGTCTATGTGATATTTCTTGGCTAATTGAAACCGAACATGTCCAATAAAATTATTGGGGTTGTCCGATAAAATTATTGGGGTATCTAGTTTAGAAATATGTCCTGAGATCCCACCTACTAACCAACATGGGCAGATATGGCTAGAAATAGAACATAAGGGTAAAATGCAAGTTTTATCTTAACTTTTCAATAGAGGAAATCTGACATTGGGCAGAATTTTTAGATCTACCTACTTTTCATTTACAACAAAACTGACGGACAACTCGTTATAGGAGAGATTGCCTATAATTGACGATTTTTTTTACCATTTTGTAATATCCATTATTTTTTTTTGGAATTTTGTGCAAAAACTACATTACATAGAGAGAAACTTAATACAGAAACCAGTTATGAGATTCTTGTCCAGTCTGTAATTTCAGAGAGTGACCAATTTTGTAAATGCACATAGATTCAGGCTAGTGACACATATCCTCTTTTGACCCTTATGTTTCCAATTACTGCAGTTTTTTTGCATTATCTTTGAAACTATGCATGATATGGGAGCTAGGTTAAATGCTTAAATCGCAAAAATGATCAGCATGACAAGAACTACTAACTCATTACAGCTATTGCAGCTTAGTTAAACATGTAATATGCAAAAATGATCAGAAAAAAAATAATAGTATGTGAATATAACGGCCCTCATTATTAGCAGTCTGGCCTGGCACAAGGTGCAGGCCTCTTGCCTTTTCAGCTCACCGGGGCCCAAAGGGCCCCATGTGAGCTTATGCCATCACTTGGCGTCCGTCGTCTGTCGTCATAAACTATTTAAAAAATCTTCTCCTCTGAAACTTGTGGGCCAAATACCTTCAAACTTTAACTAAATGTTCCTTAGGGTATCTAGTTTATAAATTGTATCCGAAGTTTTGATCCATCGACAAACATGGCCGCCATGGCTAAAAATAGAACATAGGGGTCAAATGCAGTTTTTGGCTTATATCTCAAAAACTAAAGCTTTTAGAGCAAATCTGACATGGGTAAAATTGTTCAATTGGTCAAGGTCTATCAGCTCTGAAATTTTCAAACGAATCGAACAACCCATTGTTGGGTAGCTGCCACCGAATTGGTAGTTTTAACAAAATTTTGCAGTTTTTTTTTATTATTTTGAATATTATTATAGATATATATAAACTGTAAGCAGCAATAATGTTCAGCAAAGCAAGATCTACAAAAAAGTTAATATGACCATAATTGTCAATTGACCCCTTAAGGAGTTATTGTCCTTTAAAGACAATTTTACACAATTTGTTCATCAAGTTTGCTAACATTTAAAAATCTTCTCCTCTGAAACTACTGGGCCAATTACCTTCAAACTTTAACTAAATGTTCCTTAGGGTATCTTGTTTATAAATTGTATCCGAAGTTTGTATCCATCAACAAACATGGCCACCATGGCTAAAAATAGAACATAAGGGTCAAATGCAGTTTTTGGCTTATATATCAAAAACTAAATCTTTTAGAGCAAATGTGACAAGGAGTAAAATTGTTTAATTGGTCAAGATCTATAGGCCCTGAAATTATCAGACGAATCTAACAACCCATTGTTGGGTTGCTGCCACAGAATTGGTAGTTTTAACAAAATTTTGCAGTTTTTTGTTATTATTTTGAATATTATTATAGATATATATAAACTGTGAGCAGCAATAATGTTCAACAAAGTAAGATCATTAGAAAAAAAAGTTATTATGACCAAAATTGTCAATTGATCCCTTAAGGAGTTATTGCCCTTTAAAGACAATTAAACACAATTTGTTCATCAAGTTTGCTAACATTTAAAAATCTTCTCCTCTGAAATACAGGTGAGCGATTCAGGCTCTTGAGAGCCTCTTGTTTATTTTCAAAATTAGTTTTAAAACAAATTTTAATGATCTGTGAAAAAAATTTCTCTCACTGCATTATGTTGGACTTTTTTAGGTAACTCTAACTGTTCTAGAATACAATTTTGACCACATGGATGAATTACAAAACAACAGTGAGAACGAAAATTCCAGAAGCTATATATATTATTCAGAACCAAAAGATTTTTTGAAGAAAGAAGATCGTGATTTGTTAATGGAGTCGTTCATACGACTAAGTAACATTAAACCTGAATGCTGACAGAGTAAGTCATTTTAGCAGTTTATAACATTAAACCTGAATGCTGTTAGAGTAAGTCATTTTAGCGGTTTATCATGGTTTTTGGAAAGTTTGCTATAGCTTGCTATAGCAATAGACTTTCCTATGGCATAGGCCTATAACCGGAAGTTGGACAGACTGTCTTACTATAGGATGTGTGTTCGACTCATAGATAATGTAGTACTAGTGTTTGAATACTAATTCTGCGAAGATGCTTTTGAAATTTTTAGTTACTTCTATTTTGACAAGCTTACAGCTTGAATTAAAAATGGACTGAATGTTCACCGACAATTCAAATGAATTCAACTTCATTTTGAAAATGGTATCACAAACACTACCTCGCGGATCTGCCCTGCGCGGAAGATAAAATCAATACACATCTACACCAGACAGCAGTTTTTACGTTTAATTTATTGGAACAGTCTTCGACGTTAAGGGGTAGCCCAAAGCCCCTGTCTAGTTTAAACCTAATCAGACTTGTGCAGAAGCATCTGAAATCATTTGCGAAATTGTACCCTGTAACTTATTGCATCTATGAGAACAAGTTACAAATTTGTCGCCGACCTAGTTTTCATCCGTTTACAGGTATCCCTATTTTATTATTTACGTTATTTTCCCCTTCTCTAATCAAAGGGAACCAGTCGTCATCGCGATATAACTGATTACCATCGAAATCGAGAACGAGGCTCGACCATGTGCTTGCAATAAACACAATCTATAAATACCACTCAATGTAAACAGCAGACTTCTTTTAAACTGAGTTTTACTGTGCGTATTGCTATATGTTTCTTTATTATACCCCACGCAACGAGTTGCGGAGGGTATAATGTTTTTGACCTGTCCGTCCGTCCGTCAGTCCGTCAGTCCTGTTTCTTGTCATCGCAACTCCTCTCAAACCACACAACAGAATTTCACGAAACCTTTTTAGATAATAAGGACATACTATGTAGTTGTGCATATCGACAGGAAATTACGATTTAATTCTTTTTCTAGGAGTTACGCCCCTTTTAACTTATTTACTTTAATGTTCTACTGCAACAGTTTGTCATCGCAACTCCTCTCAAACCACACAACAGAATTTCATGAAACCTTTTCAGATAATAAGGACATACTACTTAGATGTGCATATCGACAGGAAATTGCGATTCAATTTTTTTTCCAGGAGTTACGCCCCTTTGAACTTATTTGCCCAATATACTACTGCAACCTTTTGTAATCGCAACTCCTCTCAAACCACACAACAGAATTTCATGAAACTGTGTAGATAATAAGGACATACTACGTAGATGTGCATATTGACAGGAAATTATGATTCAATTTTTTTTTCTGATACAATTTTTTTTTCTTACACTTATTTTATTTCTCCAATGACAATGTGGGGACATGGGGTATGTGAGTGCGCTCACTAAGGTTCTTTAATTCTACATTGGCTAGAGGTATAGGGGGAGGGTTGAGATCTCACAAAACATGTTTAACCCCTCCGCATTTTTGCGCCTGTCCCAAGTCAGGAGCCTCTGGCTTTTGTTAGTCTTGTATTTTTTTAAATTTTAGTTCATTTATATGTTTTGGAGTTTAGGGTGACGTCCATTTTCACTGAACTAGTACACAAATTTATTTAGGGGCCAGCTGAGGACCACCTCCAGGTGCGGAATTTTCTCGCTGCGTTGAAGACCCATTGGTGGCCTTCCGCTGTTGTGTGTTCTTTGGTCGGGTTGTTGTCTCTTTGACATATTCCCCATTTCCATTCTCAATTTTGTTAATCAAGGATTCGATTTTATTCGATGCTGAAATGGTAACAGGGGACTTATCCCAGGTAAAACATTCAAAAGTCGAAAATGCCTACACGAATAACCGGAGAAGTTTCGAGTTGAAAAAAGCTATGCAGAAAAACATATAGGCATTTTTATTTATATTTCAAACAAAATTATGGAAAGTGAAGGAGAATTTTGACAGGGGTTTATGAGGTCGTTTATAGAATAGAGAATAATGGACAAAACAGATGATGAACATTTGTTTAGAGAAATATTGACCAAAAAATAAAGAATTGAGAAAAATGAGGTGTTAAAATATAAAGAATGGAGAAAAATGGCATAGAAAAATAAAGAATACAGAAATGAAGACCCCCCTCCAGATCCAAAAGAAGTGCCAGAGAAATTAACTTTAATATTTAAGACCAAGGATTTGTAGGTAGAAAAACGATATAGGCATTTTTATTTATATTTCAAACAAAATTACGGAAAGTGAAGGAGGGTGTTGACAGGGGTTTATGAGGTCGTTTATAGAATAGAGAATAATGGACAAAAAAGATGATGAATATTTGTTAAGAGAAATATTGACCAAAAAATAAAGAATTGAGAAAAATGAGATGTTAAAATATAAAGAATGGAGAAAAAAAAATGAAATATTAGGAATAAACCAGTTGGGGATATTCATTAATAAGGGAATTTTCCCCCCAAAAATTGTAGTCTGAGTTTCTTCAATAATAATTCTGCATAAAAAATTATAAATATTGGTCGGTCTTTTCACCACCGCACACCACCGAACACCCAAAAAGACCACTAACCCTTAAGAAAAACAGTAATGTTACACAATAAAACAATAAAATCGATTAAATTACATAAAATTTAATCTTATTGTCATGTTTTTCACATTTTAATGTGCATTAGTGATGTTAAAGTTGAGAATCAAAATTAAAAAAAAAACACTTCCGGATCCAGCAATATTTTCCAGATTTACATTGTCTGTATTTCATTGTATATTATCTTATTGTCTTTACTTTTCAATTATTAGAAATAAATCGTTCAAATAAGTTAAAACATTTTATTTAATGTGAAATTATCACAATAATTATACTTAAAAAAAGTTAGACTTGAAAGTGTACTGTTCTGACAACAGCCCTTGCAAGACTGTTCTTTTTGGTTCTCTTGTTATCATTTCTTATTAATTTGTGTATATATATGTCTAAACATATTCATCCTCGTTCAGAAGGTAAGTCAGATATATAAATGAGGCCAAGATGGTTCTAGTCCGAGTTTGTGATAGGCCGATTTTGATTTAGTCAGAGTTATCCAGCAGCATAATTGACATTACTGTTTATATTTTGACCAGGCCAAAGGCTATAAATTAACAAGTGATAATAGTTTGATTGAACAATAAACAGGTGACAGGATAATTAAATACTCGATAATCATATTGATTCTGTCTATGTCACAGGTCAAGGATGAGTAAAGGTAAATACCGGTTTTGATAGAAAATTGTCAAAACATAGACCGGAAGGTTATGATGCCAAAAAACATTTATTATAAGTTAAAGTTGAGAAGCTAATCTAAATATTTATCTACTCTCCATTATCAACTGTCATCTTGTTTGGTAAATAAGTAAAAATCCTGTTGGTACAAAAATGTTCATGTATATATTTGTAAGGAACTAATTGTGGTATAATCTTCATATGGAAACTTGCAACATAAAATTCAATCATGATCTGTTCATAAAGCAGGCAAGACATTTCGGCATGAACATTCTTGTAAAAAAAATGGGAAACTATTTCAAAGCATATACTATTTGTTTTTGTTTTTGTTTTTTTTTCAGATTAAGATATAATGAAGAAATATCTTCCTGAAGATCTAATTAATGTCTGCAAAGATATTAAAGGTGAAGGGAACACAAGCTATCATGCTTTAAGGAAAAGATACAGAAACACAAGCTCCTGTAGACAGTCATGCAAAGGAAGATGCTTTTGTAATATATGTTGATGTTATAAATTATGACAAATCAATTAACAACAATATGTTCTACGAATTTCCTAGTTTCATAAATCATATTATAAAAGTTGAAAATGTCATTTGATTAATAATTATGCAAAATTTAAGAAAATGGGGCAAATGAAAGGAAAATACATTTTTCAAAAATATACATATTTCAACTATTTCAACATGTAGTGGGGAATACCTGGTGTTCCTCTGGTTTCAAATCTAGTAGATTTACTACCCTCATTTCTTGATTTATTTTTATGAAATTTATTGCATATCAGAATTGTCTCAAACAAGTTAGAAAGTCAGCTATTTTTATTGGGGACGAGTCTAGGGGACCATTACATTCACAAACAAAATTCTAGTCTTTTTTTTATGAAAAAAAATTTTAAACTTTGAAATTTTAACATTTTATTGTGAATTTCATTTGAAAACAATTAAAATCCCATTAGACAATATAGACATCAAAGAGATTTTATTAGACAAAAACTGCCACATTAAATATTCCAATTGTCAATGTGGCTGGGTCACTCATATTATATAATAAGAACAATAAATATGTTTTGACAATGAAAAAGATGACTGGTGCAACACAGAATTGAAAAGAGAGAGAAATGCATTACATTGTTCTTACAAAACGGTAATTTGACAATAAATTTGGGAGTCTCTGACTGAAATCTTGTCACATGGCACCTTGTATACAGATTAGGTCATGCATGCTGTATAAATATATATCTAATGTTTTCTGCAAAAGTTTGTTTTAATGAACACTTATAATGTACATAGTACCTACATACATGTATTCTCATATTAACTATAATTAGATTGATTAAGACTACTGTTTGAAATGCTTTAATTGAACATTAACAAATCAATGAGTCAAGTTGTGATGAAGTAGCTCTGTTTAAATTATTGAGACATTGTGTATTTTTTATCACTGCTTGTTAATAATTATATGACATGTACCGGTATGTGTAACCAGATACCAACCCCTATACATTCAAATAGACGTTAAGTAATGTCAATTAATTCTTTTTTGAACTGACTACATCATGCTGGTCAGATGATGTGCTTGTAGGGTGATGCCTTTATTGTTATTAAGGCAACTTACATACATTGTATTTCTAGCTATTCCATAAATATGTAAGGGCTATTCCAGTAAAACATGTAAAAAAAAGGGGGGGGCTGGTGTTAGTTGGTTGGAAGGCACTTTGTATTAATAATACATGGGTGATGGGTATCAGAGCAACTTTTTACACTATAATGCACTATGATTCTCAATTACAATTGACTGGGTGGCAGGTGCTGAAACAAACTGCCTTCCACCCCCCTCTTCCCCCATACATTTTTTTCTGGAATAGCCCTAATGTAACGTATGCCTTAGTGTCAAGTTTTGTTGGGATAGATGGAAAAAAAATCCCTTCTGATTTTTTTAATTTTTTAGTTGTGTCATTCCTCGATTTTAAGTCTCAGATTTATGATATTTTTCACATTTCACACACTTAGTCCAGTATGCTTGTATGGATTTCATCAAATTTTTACACTATTGTTTAAAAAGATTTATAAGAGAAAGCTCCCATAAGCAAAGAAAAATGTTTTCTGGTTGTCGTTCAAGATTTACAGGCTTTTTAAGAATGTTCGCTCCTCTGTTTCAAAATAACAAGCTTTTTGAAAGACTGTTATTAATTGATAGTATAAAAAAACAAGGATTTTATAAGATTTTCAAAAATGGATTTTTATGCCATATATGTAATAAAATTATGAACATAAAAGTTGGGGTTAGCAGGCAAAATCTTTTAATAGCACTACATGGATAAAACTATGAGGATTCCGAATATCTGACTTCTGGTGAAAGTAAGAAACTGTAACATTTTGAAGATTTTCTGAATTTTCATTTCAGATTTATGGTACCCTGGTACTCTGTCAGATTGATAAAAGCCATGCACTAGCTCTTGTATGCTTAGATCAAACCACTTCAAACTTGCACTGCTTTTGGGATTAGTTAATTTTCTGGTTTACATTTCAAGAGTTATGGGAATTTTAAACAGTTATATTTGACGGAACATTTATATCATATATGCCTAAGGATTTTCTCATGCACGACTTTCTACAGAGCTTTTTTATTTATTTCTGATATATAAAAAAGAAGATGTGGTATGATTGCCAATGAGACAACTCTCCACAAGAGACCAAATGACACAAATTAACAGCTATAGGTCACTGTATGGCCTTCAACAATGAGCAAAGCCCATACCGCTGCCTTCTAAATATTCCATGATAAAATAGAACTATTAAAAGTATTGATATACCATTTTTTTGCTGTCTCTTGATCATATCTAATAATATGCTTGCCTATAGATAAGTAAAAAAAAAGATCACCAATCAAAATGTCACACAGAATTTTGCAATTTATTTGTGCTTGTTGTTAAAAGAAAATATTTGTTGCATGCTTATTGCTTTGATAGGTGTAAATTTTATTTGTGACATACATTTTAAAAAAACAAGTTGTATTCCTCCCAGACGACAGCCATTCTTTATTTAAAATGTATCATGTATGTATATAGAAAGTGGTTCAAAATATTCTTAACGAAGGAAATGATATCTGAAATAAATGTTTGTTAATAAATACTCAGTTTTAGTTTTTTTATTTAATATTAAAAAAGATAGTGGAAGATAAAAACTATTTATACATTTAAAAAATTGGCAACCCTCATGTCTCTTTGCATAAGAAGTTGCATGGTTTAGCATTTATAGATGAAAGATGATTGTGAGTAAAGTTCAACATGTGTACATGTAAGACCTTTCCATACCTGCATCTGTTGTAGTTTTATTTATATTTATTGAAAGTTTAGTATATAGCAACTGCATGGATCATCTAAACACATGAGAGAATATTTTGCTATTATTGAAATGATAAATGTCACTCAAACTTTCTTCAACTTGCAAATATATCTCAAATTGCATAAAAGAATAAGGAGATGTGGTATGATTGGCTATGACTGTCTATTTAAGAATCAGATTTGTAAAATTGCAGGTTAACATACAGCTTGCATTATTTACATGTAGCAAGTATGTTATTGTATAGTAAGTATACTATAAAAGGCTGATGTAAAATACAATAACATGCATGTTTCTATATAAAGGAATTAGCATAGCTCATAGCCAATGAAAAAAAGGAACACACCACTAATAAATAATTCGGAATTTCATGAACTGATTCCTATTCCTCTCAAGTTTATGGTAAAACATTTCATACCCTATCCATTCTGTTCAGTAAACAGTTTTTACATTGGACTTGATATTTATCCAACGACTATTCATTAGAAGTTACATGATAAAGAGACCAAGGTTAATATAAAGGATCTACAATGTAGCATAGCATGAAAGACAAATCATAGTGCAACAGAACATGTTGATTTATACATGTTATACTGTATAACATGTATAAATCAACATGTTCTGTTATCATGCACTAGCTCTTGTATGCTTAGATCAAACCACTTCAAACATGCACTGCTTTTGGGATTAGTGAATTTTCTGGTTTACATTTCAAGAGTTGTGGGAATTTTAAACAGTTATATTTGACCGAACATTTATATCATATATGCCTAAGGATTTTCTCAGGCACGACTTTCTACAGAGCTATTTTATTTATTTCTAATATATAAAAAAGAAGATGTGGTATGATTGCCAATGAGACAACTCTCCACAAGAGACCAAATGACACAAATTAAAAGCTATAGGTCACTGTATGGCCTTCAACAATGAGCAAAGCCCATACCGCTGCCTTTTAAATATTCCATAATAAAATAGAACTATTAAAAGTATTGATATACCATTTTTTTGCTGTCTCTTGATCATATCTAATAACATGCTTGTCTATAGATAAGTAAAAAAAAGATCACCAATCAAAATGTCACACAGAATTTTGCAATTTATTTGCGCTTGTTGTTAAAAGAAAATATTTGTTGCATGTTTACTGCTTTGATAGGTGTAAATTTTATTTGTGACATACATTTTAAAAAAACAAGTTGTATTCCTCCCAGACGACAGCCATTCTTTGTTTAAAATGTATCATGTATGTATATAGAAAGTGGTTCAAAATATTCTTAACAAAGGAAATGATATCTGAAATAAATGTTTGTTAATAAATACTCAGTTTTAGTTATTTTTATTTAATATTAAAAAAGATAGTGGAAGATAAAAACTATTTATACATTTAAAAAATTGGTAACCCTATGTCTCTTTGCATTAGAAGTTGCATGGTTTAGCATTTATAGATGAAAGATGATTGTGAGTAAAGTTCAACATGTGTACATGTAAGACCTTTCCATAAATGCATCTGTTGTAGTTTTATTTATATTTATTGAAAGTTTAGTATATAGCAACTGCATGGATCATCTATACACATGAGAGAATATTTTGCTATTATTGAAATGATAAATGTCAGTCAAACTTTCTTCAACTTGCAAATATATCTCAAATTGCATAAAAGAATAAGGAGATGTGGTATGATTGGCTATGACTGTCTATTTAAGAATCAGATTTGTAAAATTGCAGGTTAACATACAGCTTGCATTATTTACATGTAGCAAGTATGTTATTGTATAGTAGGTATACTATAAAAGGCTGATGCAAAATACAACAACATGCATGTTCCTATATAAAGGAATTAGCATAGCTCATAGCCAATGAAAAAAAGGAACACACCACTAATAAATAATTCGGAATTTCATGAACTGATTCCTATTCCTCTCAAGTTTATGGTAAAAACATTTCATACCCTATCCATTCTGTTCAGTAAACAGTTTTTACATTGGACTTGATATTTATCCAACGACTATTCATTAGAAGTTACATGATAAAGAGACCAAGGTTAATATAAAGGATCTACAATGTAGCATAGCATGAAAGACAAATCATAGTGCAACAGAACATGTTGATTTATACATGTTATACTGTATAACATGTATAAATCAACATGTTCTGTTATCATGCACTAGATCTTGTATGCTTAGATCAAACCACTTCAAACTTGCACTGCTTTTGGGATTAGTGAATTTTCTGGTTTACATTTCAAGAGTTATGGGAATTTTAAACAGTTATATTTGACCGAACATTTATATCATATATGCCTAATGATTTTCTCATGCACGACTTTCTACAGAGCTATTTTATTTATTTCTTATATATAAAAAAGAAGATGTGGTATGATTGCCAATGAGACAACTCTCCACAAGAGACCAAATGACACAAATTAAAAGCTATAGGTCACTGTATGGCCTTCAACAATGAGCAAAGCCCGTACCGCTGCCTTCTAAATATTCCATAATAAAATAGAACTATTTAAAGTATTGATTGACCATTTTTTTGCTGTCTCTTGATCATATCTAATAACATGCTTGTCTATAGATAAGTATAAAAAAAGATCACCAATCAAAATGTCACACAGAATTTTGCAATTTATTTGTGCTTGTTGTTAAAAGAAAATATTTGTTGCATGCTTATTGCTTTGATAGGTGTAAATTTTATTTGTGACATACATTTTAAAAAAACAAGTTGTATTCCTCCCAGACTACAGCCATTCTTTGTTTAAAATGTATCATGTATGTATATAGAAAGTGGTTCAAAATATTCTTAACGAAGGAAATGATATCTGAAATAAATGTTTGTTAATAAATACTCAGTTTTAGTTATTTTTATTTAATATTAAAAAAGATAGTGGAAGATAAAAACTATTTATACATTTAAAAAATTGGTAACCCTCATGTCTTTTTGCATTAGAAGTTGCATGGTTTAGCATTTATAGATGAAAGATGATTGTGAGTAAAGTTCAACATGTGTACATGTAAGACCTTTCCATACATGCATCTGTTGTAGTTTTATTTATATTTATTGAAAGTTTAGTATATAGCAACTGCATGGATCATCTAAACACATGAGAGAATATTTTGCTATTATTGAAATGATAAATGTCAGTCAAACTTTCTTCAACTTGCAAATATATCTCAAATTGCATAAAAGAATAAGGAGATGTGGTATGATTGGCTATGCCTGTCTATTTAAGAATCAGATTTGTAAAATTGCAGGTTAACATACAGCTTGCATTATTTACATGTAGCAAGTATGTTATTGTATAGTAAGTATACTATAAAAGGCTGATGTAAAATACAATAACATGCATGTTTCTATATAAAGGAATTAGCATAGCTCATAACCAATGAAAAAAAGGAACACACCACTAATAAATAATTCGGAATTTCATGAATTGGTTCCTATTCCTCTCAAGTTTATGGTAAAAACATTTCATACCCTATCCATTCTGTTCAGTAAACAGTTTTTACATTGGACTTGATATTTATCCAACGACTATTAATAAGAAGTTACATGATAAAGAGACCAAGGTTAATTAATATAAAGGATCTACAATGTAGCATAGCATGAAAGACAATCATAGTGCAACAGAACATGTTGATTTATACATGTTATACTGTATAACATGTATAAATCAACATGTTCTGTTATCATGCACTAGATCTTGTATGCTTAGATCAAACCACTTCAAACTTGCACTGCTTTTGGGATTAGTGAATTTTCTGGTTTACATTTCAAGAGTTATGGGAATTTTAAACAGTTATATTTGACCGAACATTTATATCATATATGCCTAAGGATTTTCTCATGCACGACTTTCTACAGAGCTATTTTATTTATTTCTGATATATAAAAAAGAAGATGTGGTATGATTGCCAATGAGACAACTCTCCACAAGAGACCAAATGACACAAATTAACAGCTATAGGTCACTGTATGGCCTTCAACAATGAGCAAAGCCCATACCGCTGCCTTCTAAATATTCCATAATAAAATAGAAGTATTAAAAGTATTGATATACCATTTTTTTGCTGTCTCTTGATCATATCTAATAACATGCTTGTCTATAGATAAGTAAAATAAAGATCACCAATCAAAATGTCACACAGAATTTTGCAATTTATTTGCGCTTGTTGTTAAAAGAAAATATTTGTTGCATGCTTATTGCTTTGATAGGTGTAAATTTTATTTGTGACATACATTTTATAAAAACAAGTTGTATTCCTCCCAGACGACAGCCATTCTTTGTTTAAAATGTATCATGTATGTATATAGAAAGTGGTTCAAAATATTCTTAACGAAGAAAATGATATCTGAAATAAATGTTTGTTAATAAATACTCAGTTTTAGTTATTTTTATTTAATATTAAAAAAGATAGTGGAAGATAAAAACTATTTATACATTTAAAAAATTGGTAACCCTCATGTCTCTTTGCATTAGAAGTTGCATGGTTTAGCATTTATAGATGAAAAGATGATTGTGAGTAAAGTTCAACATGTGTACATGTAAGACCTTTCCATACATGTATCTGTTGTAGTTTTATTTATATTTATTGAAAGTTTAGTATATAGCAACTGCATGGATCATCTATACACATGAGAGAATATTTTGCTATTATTGAAATGATAAATGTCAGTCAAACTTTCTTCAACTTGCAAATATATCTCAAATTGCATAAAAGAATAAGGAGATGTGGTATGATTGGCTATGACTGTCTATTTAAGACTCAGATTTGTAAAATTGCAGGTTAACATGCAGCTTGCATTATTTACATGTAGCAAGTATGTTATTGTAAAGTAAGTATACTATAAAAGGCTGATGTAAAATACAATAACATGCATGTTTCTATATAAAGGAATTAGCATAGCTCATAGCCAATGAAAAAAAGGAACACACCACTAATAAATAATTCGGAATTTCATGAATTGATTCCCATTCCTCTCAAGTTTATGGTAAAAACATTTCATACCCTATCCATTCTGTTCAGTAAACAGTTTTTACATTGGACTTGATATTTATCCAACGACTATTCATTAGAAGTTACATGATAAAGAGACCAAGGTTAATATAAAGGATCTACAATGTAGCATAGCATGAAAGACAAATCAAAGTGCAACAGAACATGTTGATTTATACATGTTATACATTACAGACATGATAAATTTAAACAATAAACGAAAGCAACACTTACCACTACTAAATGAACGGGAACATTCATGAATTGATTCCAGCTTCTATCCAGGTTATGGCAAACAAATTTCCACCTCCAACCGTTCTGTTCAGTGAAGAGTTTTTACCATTGAAATGATAGGTGAATACATTCCAATCTTTTGGCAGCCGTTAATATTCCCATTTCAATGTGGCATTTATACATTTTCACAACAGAATAATATGTTGTTGTTTTTTTGTATATTAGATTAAAATTTGCATTTAAATTTTTTTTTTATTTTTTTTTTTTTTTTATGAATTTTTGAAAAGTTTTGATTTTGCATTTAAATTTTTTTTTTTTTTAATTACAAATTATTTTTTTTAGTCCAACTAAGGGGGTTAGCCATGCACGCATGGCTAAGGGTTAGTTAAACAATAATGATATATTTTAAAAAGTCCAACTAAGGGGGTTAGCCATACACGCATGGCTAAGGGTTAGTTGAACAATAATTATATATATTATAAAGTCAAACTAAGGGGGTTAGCCATGCACGCATGGCTAAGGGTTAGTTGAACAGTAATAATATATTTTATAAAGTCCAACTAAGGGTTAGCCATACTCAGGTTAGATCATCATCAATACACCTTCCACTTTCCTGTCAATCATCAGTTAATTGACCAATCACATGTGTAAACATTTGGTAGCAGCACGTGTTGTTGGCCATAACCTCGGTCAAACATTCTTATCTTAACAGTTAGTTTGATCTAACATTTCTTGACATTTTCACAATTAAATCGTCCAGAATTTGTTTTTGGGAAAGGAATCAATGTTAGAGGGTAGAGGAAGGTCAATTTGTCAACTTGAAACAATAAAAATAATTGTTTCAATGTATGAAAGTTATTAATAAATCAATTAAAAAGGAATATAAAGGCAGTGCTTATTGTTTTTGAAATACTGTTTACATGCTATTTTGAAAAATAAAAAAATATATATATTCTGAAACACAAGATTTCAATTGGTGTACAAACTGAGTTGAAATTGATATGTTTTGCATTAATTTAAAAGTTTATACAATAAAACATGCAAGTTAGTATGTAAAATTTATGTAAATTACAGTTATAATATAGTAAAGATTCAGCAACAAAATAATTGACACCTTTCCAATTTCAGTTACATAGAACAATTCATCCCTAACTTTATTCAAATGTTAAAATATTTGTACTTGGAAGCAGTTTAAACTGAAAACTTCAGGGTATTGATCATCTTTTGGATTGACAGATTTTATACAAAATTTAAATTTTACAGTATAATATTTATACAAGAACTATTCCATGTTTTTTAACATGATAATGTAAGTTTTCCCACCTTAAAATTAATCTGGATGAAAAATTATATACAACCTCATTGGAATGAGATGGAAATAAGAATTACTGATCTGAAAGTCTGCATGGAATGATGTAGTGAATCAGATATTTGTAGTCTTTTTGTGTACAAAATATATAAAAATGAAAGTATTTATGTTTGTAATGCCCTCATCGCTAGCATTTCGTTATAAGACAGAGGGGAA